CATGGAGCTAGGAGAAATGGTCGATCTCATTTAAAGCTTAGGAACTACTCCTAGAAGCATTATAAGGAGCTTTTTTGCGAGTAAACTCCATTTTGCTTAAGTTTTCATGAAGATAGAATATTTAGTTTTTCTTTGAGAAATGAGGTATGTTGTGGATATATGGGTACAGAGTTGGACCTTACTCATGTTGGAAATAATGACAAGGAAGAGGAATAAATAGTGAAAAAGCAATAAAATCATCATTTAACTCATTTTCGAAAAATAGGTTATAGACCACGTAGGATTTCTTATGTATGTTATATGGATGGACTTTGATGGTAGTCTATGCTTGCTTTTATGTTATAGTACGGACACTTGTGATACTTAAGTGGTGGAGCAATCTTTGGATTGAATTGATTGTGAGAAACTTGGTTTGGTTGGAATCAATAATAAGGTAAGCTACTACCTTGTTTTCTTATTGGAAATGGTAGTTGTTGAATTGATATTTGTTGCATGATATGCACTGTAATCATACTTACACCTTTGTGTAGGGTGGTGCTAGTGAGAAACTAGTGTGATATTGGTGTTGAGGACACTTAAATACAAAGGGAAACTTGGAAAAAAAGTCTACTGAAGGTAAGCTTTCGGACTTTGAAATTTATCCCCATTACATTCTACCATACTCTGAGGGAGTAATGATTTTATAGTAGGTGTATTGCTTTGAGATGAGATATAATGCATGTTTTTTGTAAATGCTTTGTTGAATGCTTGATGGTGTGATACCTTGATTATGCTGGATTTTTTTATTAGACCCCTGGCTAGGAGTTTGTTTGCATTTATCTGTGTAATGCCTTAAAGGTGAGATGCCTTTCGAAAGTGCTTTGGGAAGAGGACCCCCCACTCTTTCAAAGTATAATATGGACTTGCCTTAAGATTAGAGTTACATGGATGCAATCCTAAGTTGGTAAAACTAGAGAAAAGGACCCCGTACTTTTTTGGGAGGTGCCATATGAGCATTCTAGTAACGGCCGATGTCCTGAAGAATGGCTTGGTTTAGATTGCTAAACAATGCATTGGTATATATTGTATTATTTCTGCTTATTGCTTTTATACCTGAAGTGGACTTAGTGGTGAATGAATCCTCCAAGGACCCCTAGTTTACTAAGATTGTTATCTCACGCCATGTGGGGATCATATTTTAGGTACACATGATGATAAAGTTGGACCTTCCCTGAACAGTGGCTCAAAGGTTTCTGGCACTTTTAGCGCCAAGTTGGTGCTCCGGGCATCATAAAACAATGGTTGATCAGGGTTGTGGCGCTTCTGACGCCAAATTGGCGCTACCAGCGCTAGCTTACTGTTGGTTTCAACACATTTTCGTAAAAATTTCATAACTTGAGCTAGTGAGCTCCAAATAAGTGCAGTTTGGACATACGCAAAGCCGACTTATAGATATATAACATAGTAAAATATTATTATCATTAGATAATTAAATTTATCCCAATTTAGATTTAAAGTTGATGTTTTATTTTTGGGGTTTCAGTTAAAGCAATTACCTTGCGGGGTTCATAACTCAGGCTATATTTAACCAAATGATTAATGTGAACCTTTCGAGAAAGTCCAAGACGTCTAGTTTCACATAGTTAGAAAACAAAAAGTTTATTCACATTTAATATAAGACCACTTAGAATTCCATAAGTTGAGCTTTCGTGTTTATTTAATTAAATATGCTACGCCTAGTACCATATGCTTTATAATACACCGACTACCGACGGGGTGTTACACTCTATTTATAGAAGTGGTTGGTAAGGACTTGGGCCTAAAGTTTGGATGTTATCTCCTCTGTTTTAATTTGAATTTAGCTGTTGCAACCTTATCTTATCTTTATCTTAATTTAATACACTTTGGTTGCTGACCTCTTCGAGTTAAGTGCTTATTTTTCTTAAATATGGGATTTGGGAAGTTGTTTTATCTTTAAAACAACATCATCTTCTGATTTCTACTGAGTTATCAACAATCTTGGAGATTTATCTTCAATTTAAATTAAAATAGATACTTTATCTCTTCATCCCGTAAAGCTATTATCCAAACGCTATGTTATGTAGTCTGATTACTATAACACTCATGTGAAATTTTCAATGTGCTTAGATCTTTGACTTCTTCACTGCTACAACATTCCATTGTATTTTGTGAAAGAAACACTCAACTAGTCACGTGTTCAATCATCAAAATCAAGAGTATTTTCTGTGTTTTGAACCCTTTCTCATCTCAAAGCACTTAAAAATGATTTATGCAACATTAAGCTCATTTACCATGCATTTGAGACACATTACATGGAATTTAAAGGGCAAATGCATGTATCATTATAAGCCCTAAATTAACTCTTTTTTAAAGAGTTAATATACTCCAAACTCAAAATGTTGTTTGTCCTCGAGCAACAAAATCTTTCTGATCTTGCATCACCTTGGTGGTATAATTGCAGTAGTGACTATTATTGAGATGATCTGCTCTAATATTGTGTTCCAACGATTTCTTATACTTCAACTTTGGTATTTCTTGTCAGCCTAATTTTATCTTGGCTTCTTGCTTATGGAACAATCATTGTGTGTGTGTGATAACACGTATTTTGTTACACTTATTTATTACTCTTGGTTAGTATTTTTAGGATTTATTTGAATAAAATAATGATGTTTTGAGTTAATTTAGATTTTTAGTTTTTGATTGGGTTTAATTTATTTTTGTCAGAATTTTTGAGCTTTACGTTACTTCTGTATTTTGGCCATATCTCGATCCACAGTTATCGGATTGACTCCGTTCTTGTTGGGTTTTTCAGATAACACAGAGGGCTACAATTCTTATGAAGAGCTCGAAGCCCAATTCGAACTGAAAGTTGGTAGATTTCTGACGTCAAGTTAGACGCATTTTGCTGAAGTTTTATTTGATTATTGGACTTGTAATTTAAATTAAAACCCAATTACTTAAGTGGCCCAAAGCCAACTTTTAGTTTTTTTTTTTTTTTTTTTTTGTATTATAGACAGATGGGCCGAGTAGGAAACTTTTATTCATTCTGTAATTTTCGAATTTGAGGATCAAAACACTTTCTCTGAAACGTTCTTCATCTTTTTCTTCATCTTTTTATTTATTTTACTTTTTAATCATGTTTATCCTAGCCATGCTAGGCTAAAACCCTTTAATTAACCTAAGGGGAAGGGATTCCATGGATCTGTTTAGAGGATTTGGGATCACTCTCTAATCAGATTCGTTTCTTTACCCTAACTCAGATCGATATCGTGCGATTGTGGATATTCGATCTGAGGTTCGCGATTGCGATTATGGAAAAAGAATGATCATCAGATTTGATGATCAGATTGTTCTCAATTGAAAATAAGGATTCTGATTCAATTGAGGTTAATCACGAATTTGGTAATTTTTATCCAAGGAAGGACAGCCTATGGAACCATAACCTTAGGTTGGTTAATTTTTAATTACGAATTTTAATTCCAATTTTATATTCTTCCTTTTAAATTATTAAACTGAAATCAAAAACCCCTTTTTTATTTTCTGTTTTCAAAAACGATTTTTACTCAAACAATTTCCTTGAGAGACGACTTAGGGTTTCCACTTTACTGTAAATTTTCGGAACCCTAATTAGAAAATAATTTTTAATTTGCGCGAGTTCGACAGCTCGTGTCAGTGTGCCAGGAGCTTCCTTGTTGACTTAATCCACTCAAGAGCTTCAAATTAAGAATCATAAGACCTAATTGCTTGATCTCATAACCTACCAAGTTTGAATCCATACCTATGTGTAAGAGTTAATAGAATAGGTGTCTACCTTAGCCTTTGTTTTTATGTAAACTTTGGTTCGCTCTTTTTATTTTTGTGGGCATTACCTTTTCCTTTTGCACTTATTTAATTTTTTGCTTTCGACTTTATTTCTTTTTGTGGGGGACCTTTTTCATATTGTGGTTCTGCACTTATTACTTTGCTTCCATCCTTATAATACCAACAAAAAAAGCTTGAGTCATGTGAGAACTTGTTCACAAAATCATTATATCATACTATTTTTTTCTAAAGAAAAAATAGTCTATTATATTTGTCTGATGGTAATTATCTTTTAGATAGTATTGATTTCAATATTCATATAATCTTCATACAATTAATAAAATGAAAATAAAAAACTATTAGATAATTTTATTATTTTTATTATCAGTAATTTCACATAAATTATTTTTATGATGGTGAATTAGGAATTTACATTACAATTGAATTATTTTAATAATTTACATATAATATTTTCTATATTTTATAAATTTTAAATAAACTTATAGGGTACAGTTCGATCAATATCCCATTAACCCAGAAATGTTAAGTAATATAAACTAAGGCTAAAATGCTTCTTCTGTGACGGCAAAAACCATCTTCTGCTGCTGCTCTCTCATTACAAAACGAGTCGTTTCTTTTCTCTTGTTTTATTTTTCTAAAAAAGGCAGGGACCATTTTTCTTGAATTAGCTGCAAAAAAAAATTGTTTTACAGAAGTATAAAGCCCATAAACTAAAATTTGGAAGCTCGAGCCAGAAAATAATGAGTATCTAGGATTTATGTTATCGAGGCATGCAAGTTGATAAACTAGAACAACTGGTCCAAAGTCATGTAGCTGCCACTTTTCTAAGGGTTGGTCATGATCCTTGATGTGGCTGTCCCCTTTGCCTTGTAAATGGCCCTTTCTATTGTCCTTGCTCTAATTCTCCTCTGGGGCAGTGCTTAGCAAATCTTGCTAAATTCAAGGAAAACATTAGGATTCACTAATTTAAGAACTTAAAGAACCAAAAATAAGAAAATCGACGTTCTCATATGGTACTAAGCAGTTGGTTACATACGATAGGGTGGATAATCCATACAGCTCATTGATATAAGTTGCTCGCATTTAATATCTAGATCAAAATTTTAGTATTACATAAGCCTTAACCACGATCATAACTCGCTGATTTATGGAATGTTGTGACTCGAACACATCAAAATCCAAATATTATATCATATTATCCGTTAAATTAACTTATTATACAAGAATCCCTACTAAAATGGACAACCAACTACCTCCAAAAAAAAAAAAAAAAAAAACGGAAAGGAGAAAAGGAGCCTAATTACTAGCACCCCGACAAAATACACAAATCAAATTACATGGCAGCCAATCACGGCCAGCTGGCAATGATATCGCTACCTCCAGATTATCTTTCATCGTCTAAGTATATAAATAATTATTAGACATGCATTATCACACTGCACAAAGTGGTCCCCTGCGGACAAGATGCAATCTCCAGCGCATATCTATTTTGTACCACATCCGACAAGATACAATAAGATCGATACATACAATAGGGTGTATACCAAAAAAAAAAAAAAAGAGCACACGGGTATCAAACTCCGTCAATCCTTGCTGGTTGGAGTAGGTCTCTGGGCCCCTGGGGGGGCAGTTGGCCTAGGGAAGTTATAGTCGAATTGCATGCCTGCAAATTGCGGTTTCTCCACGTAGGGGCTCTACATCCATTTGATTCAAAACAAACATAAGATGTCAGAAAAACTTACATTAATGTCATGAAAATAGAAAGAAAAGAATTCGAGTAAATTGTATAATAATGAAGAAAAAAATGACAGATATGAATTTGGCCAAAAAAAAAAAAAAACGAAAGAAAGAAAGAAAAATATCAGTGGGAAATATCGCACCTGGGATACCGATACAGCATGAGATGAAAAATCAGGACTTGAAGATTTGGGAGAGGTACTAGGAGAACACGCATCATTGCTAGTTTCACTTCCATTCAACTTATGTACTGCTTTGTTTAGTACACTTTCATTCTCATTCTCATTGGCTGACTTAACCCTCTACATTTAAATGGCGAGTTCAAAATCTTTTCATCAGTGTACAGTGCTGCTAACGAATGCGTGAATTGTAGGGAAAGAAATACCACCTGGAAGATTTTGCCGAGAGTTTTCAACCCTTTTGCTCGTACTCGGAGTTCTTCTTTCTTGGCATTGTTGTCTTGAAGAACCTAAAGTGAAGCACATATGATCTAATTATAACACACCTAACCCAAAAATCTACTTTATGGTATCTAAAGAAGTGACATTGTAGTAGCAAAAGCAACCATTTGACAAACGCGGGAAAGAGTCGCCTCAATGTCAGCCACATTAAGCTTCCACAAAGAGTCAATCATCAGTTTCTTGTGAGATTGCATGTATTCTTCAAGCTCTTCTTCAGTATAGTTCCCTTCTGTACTTAGTTGTTTTTTCATGTCCTCCTGCAGTTGGATCAAAGCAATTGCCCCTAGAACAACCATAAAGAAAAAACCATTTATCAGCCTTCTTTTAGATGTTTTACACATTAGCAATTCATGTTTGCAAGCCAGAGAACCAAAATGAATAGATAATTAGTGTCAAGTATCAACCTTTTAATTAACGGAGTCCAAATAAAAGCCTTAACCTAACAAGGGGCTTTATCCTTCCAAAACAAATCTGATAGTTGGATATTGGGGAAAAAAGAAGAAGAAAATATACCAATACATCAATATCAACAACACCTTTATTCCAAACTAGTTGAGGTCGGTAGTTGATGAACCCAAATAAAAAACAGAAAAGATAGAGGAAAAAGAAGAAAAATAATAAACTAACAATAATAAATCAAAAAACTAAAATAAAAAAATAAGAGAAAAATAAATAAAAGAATAGTTAAGAGGGAAAAATAAATAGGAGGAAAAAAGTAAATTAGAGAGGAAGATAAAAAAAAAAAAATAAGGACTAAAAAGGGTCATCTAAAATATAGGAAACAAACGGGCCCAACAGGAAAAATAAATAGTAGGAAAAAAGAATTAGAGAGGAAGATAAATAAATAAATAAACAAACAAAATAAGGACTAAAAGGGTCATCTAGAATATAGGAAACAAACGGGCCTACCCCTCTACATTTTTAAGACACCATTTGCTAATCTATTTCGCACTCTATTAAATCTTGTTTTACTACTATTGCTATCCAAAGATCTTCATCTGCGAACTCTTTTAGGAGGAAGAAATATTCTGATCTTGTTTTCTGTTATAATTTGAATAATTACGATAAGTATGAGATTAGTTACTTGTTTTTGTTTTTAAAGATTCAGCAAAATTAGGATAGTTTTACAGTTATTCTGTTTCCTATTATTTAGAGATCAAAATCTGTTTAGGATTGTACTGAGTGATCCATAGTTAGTCTATATATTGTAATCAGTCTTTTCCAATCAATAACAAAGAGAAAGATTAATTCTTCTTATATCCTAATATTCTACGTGATATCAGAGTCTCGGTGTCATGGGTTCAATCATTCCCCCACTTAATTAATAATTAATTAAGTCTCATGGAGTTTCTTAGCACAGGTAGATTGAACCTGATGCATCATCCACCCTTCAAGCTCAATTGGCTCTCGCGTGAGGGAACGTCTTAGAGATATATAAAACCATTAACATAATCTCACCCAAAAGCTTAAACTATTAAGTTGAATTGGTTCTTTACATGATATCAAAGCTCTCATCCAAGGGCCTGATCCAATCATGCCATGGCTGCACTTCGCTTTGCCTCTATGAGAGCATATCAAACCACTTCCCATGATACCTCTTCGACCATGTCCCAACCACAGCCTAACCCACAAGAACAACCAGAGAACACAACCTCTGCCTTCCCCAACAAGAGTCCTGCCCTAATCATTACTGGACATAGATTTAATGAAGGAAACTTCCTGCTGTGGTCGAGAAGTGTTAAAATGTTCATTAGTGGTCGCGGAAAATGTGACTTTCTCATAGGAATTGGAGACACTACACCTCCAGAAACAAATCACCCTCAATATAAATGATAGTCTGTTGAAAACAACCTTGTGATGTCCTGGCTCTTAAACTCAATGACCTCAGAGATAGCAGAAACGTATATGCTTTGTTATACAGCCTAGGAAATTTGGAATGGAATTAAGGAATCCTTTTCAAAGGAAGATAACACTCCAGCCATGTTACAAATTAAAGGAATTTTGAGGGATCTCAAACAAGAAGACGAAGATGTTACAGGTTATAGCAATTCTCTCCTTAAATATTGGTAGCAAATGGATCTTTATGGAACATATGAATGGGCTAACCTAGTTGATGAAATACTTTACAAAAGATTACAGAGAAGGATCACATGTAATTTCCTTTTGGGGCTCAATCCTATTTGAGGCTGCAAGGAGTAGAATCATGGCTGTTCGTCCATTACCTTCAATGCATGAAGTTTTTTCTGAAGTTAAATGAGAGGAGAGTAGGAAGCAATTAACCAACAACCTTCACAAGCCAGAATCCAACGCTGATGGAAGTGCATTTGCTGCTGAAAAGTCCTACAATGCTGAACATAAGCCAAAAAGGAATGGTAAGCCCTAGTGTGATCACTGCAATAGAATTGGACATACAAGGGATAATTGCTGGAGAATACATGGTAAACCAGCAGATTGGAAGCCCAGGCAAGGCAGAGATCAGAGAAGGTTTGCTGTTGCAGTTGAAGAAATTCAACAAGAAAAGATTGGAGTTCACAAAAGAGCATCTGGCTGCAATACAGAGGATGATCACTGATTGCAGTAAGGAGAAGCCTAGTAACTCATCATCCATGATCCAATCAGATTCTCCATGCCAATCAAGTACCTATCTCACAGCTCTGCATGCCAGTTATGGCAACTCTGAAACCTGGTTGGTTGATTTGGGCTCGGGGCAACAGATTCATATGATGGGTAATTCCTCACTTTTATCCAGCTACTCTCCCCTACACATTGTCAAAGCTGTAAAAATAGCTAATGGAAGCTTGGCTGAGGTTAAAGAAGTTGGTACAGTGAAACTACCATAAGGCCTTATTTTACAAGAAGTGCTATTTATTCCCAAACTTACTTGCAACTTAATATCTGTTACCAAGTTAACCAAAGACTTGAAGTGTATGGTTCTTTTTAAACCCTTTGGTTGTGTATTTCAGCATTTGGCATCGGGGAAGAAGATTGGCAGTGCTTGGACATATAATAGTCTCTATCATCTTTAACAATCCGAGACTACAAGGACAAGAAGCATGACTCATATGGCTACTTCAAGCAAACAGGACAAGGCTTTACTGTGGCATTATAGATTAGGACATACTAATTTCCAATATATGAAAAAGATGTACCCCGAATTGTTGCATGAAATTTCTCATTTTCCATTATTTGAAACTTGTCAATTGTCTAAACATGTTCGATCTTCATATCCTTCGCAAGGATACCAATCCTTATAACCTTTTTTTTGTCATCCATAGTGATGTTTGAGGTCCTGCCAACATTGAAAGTATTAGTGGTGCCAAGTGGTCTGTAACCTTCATTGATGATCATACTAGAATGACATGGGTATATCTCTTACACACCAAATCTGAGGTCACTGAACCCTTAAAGAACTTCCATAAATTAGTCCAAGATCAATTTCAAACTCAGATCCTTGTCTTAAGGTCTGATAATGCTCGTAACTATTTCAACATGGACCTCAATCATTATCCTAAAAATCATGGGATTATTCATCAAAGTTCTTGTGTCAATACCCCCCAACAAAATGGGATAGCAGAGAAAAAACCGACACCTTTTAGAGGTAGCCCGATCACTTATTCTAGCCTGTCATATGCCTAAACACTTTTGGGGGGAAGTCTCATCAATAGGATGCCCTCTAGAGTATTGAAGTTTTTGTCTCCCTACCAAATACTCCTAAATACCTATCCTACCTTACCTCCTATCCCCAACCTGCCACCCAAAATATTCGGCTGCACAACATTTGTTCATACAAATCATGGGGGGAAACTTGATCCTAGAGCCATTAAAAGTGTGTTCCTTGGCTATTCACCTACTCAAAAAGGGTACAAGTATTTTGTTCCCAACACCAACCGGTTCTATATTACTATGGATGTACATTCTTTGAACATCAACCATTTTATCCCCAACCAATCATACAGGGGGAGCAACCTATAAGCAGTCCAGAATGGTTGTTTGTGGCTGAACCAATTGTATCAGATTCCAACTTGCCTAGTACCATGACCAGCACCTAGCCAAGCCAAGGCACGATCCTCCTCCTGAACACAATCAGAACCAGCAAAACATTCAGGTCTATACTAGAAGGCCAAAAAGTCAGCAGCACCGAACAATTTCTCCAGCCGAGTCTATTGGTCCAGCATAACTAGTTTCTGATAAAGCTACTATAGCTTAGCCAGCTCCATCCAGTCATGAAGAAATTATATGTCCAGCACATTATCAGTCCAATTCTTTTGTCCCAAATCCTGAAGATGGCATGGAATTGCCAATTGCCTTGAGAAAAAGTGTAAGGAGCTGTACCAAACATGATATAAGCAATTTTGTCTCTTATGATAATATTTCTCCTGGGATGCAGGCCTTTGTTCACAATATGGATAAGCACACAGTACCAACTTCATTTACAGAAGCTGCAAATACAGAGAAATGGAGATTAGCTATTCAAGATGAGTTTAAAGCAATTGAGAAGAATGACCTTGGAAGATAGTGGACCTACCTAATGGAATATCACTTGATGGCTGCAAATGGATCTTTACCATCAAGTATAATGAGGATGGGAGTAACAACACCTACAAAGCAAGGTTGGTGGCAAAGGATTTACCCAATCCCAAGGGATTGACTATCAAGAGACATTTGCCCCTATAGCCAAACTTAATTCAATTAAAGTGCTATTATCAATAGCTGCTTGCTTGGACTGGCCTCTTTGGCAAATGGATGTAAAAAATGCCTTCTTGAATAGAGACTAAGAAGAATAAGTTTATATGAAGATTCCTCAAGGTGTGGAGCATAGTCATGGACCTAGGAAGGTATGTAAACTGTTAAAGTCTCTTTATGGCCTAAAACAGTCACCTAGAGCATGGTTTGACAAATTTACTTCTGTTATTAAAGCACAAGGATATACACAGTGCCACACAGATCAAACAATGACTATCAAAAGGTTCCCCAGTCAGAAAATAATAATTATGATAGTATATGTCGATGATATTACAATTACTGGTGATTGTATTGGAGAAATTTCCATCTTGAAAGGAACCTTAGCTAAGAGATTTGAACTCAAGGATCTTGGTAAGTCGCGGTATTTCCTAGGGATGGAGGTTGCAAGGACAAATGAGGGTATTTCTGTCTCACAAAGGAAGTATACTCTTGATCTACTAAGGGAAACTGGAATGTTGGGGTGTAAACTTGCGGATACACCCATGAAAGCTAATTATAAGGTGGGATTCAAACAAGACAGTTCATCAGTTGACACAGAAAGATACCAGCGTCTGGTTGGTAAGCTTATTTATTTAACTCATACACGTCCTGATATCATCTTTCCAGTTAGTGTGCTGAGCCAATTTATGAACAACCCGAATGAAGAGCATTTGGAAGCAGTGTACCAAATCCTAAGATACCTGAAAGTGACACCAAAAAAGGGCTTATTCTTCAAGAAAAACACCAACCGAGACATCATAGTGTATACTGATGGAGGTTGAGCTAGATCCGTAGTTGACAGAAGATCCAACACTAGTTATTGCACATATATTTGGGGGAACTTGGTTACTTAGAGAAGTAAAAAGCAACCAATAATAGCATGAAGCAATGAGAAGCTGAGTATAGAGCTTTTGTCCTTGGCAACTTGCGAAGGAATGTGGATTCTAAGAATGTTAAATGAGTTGAATTTTGATCATGAAGCACCTATGAAGGTCTTCTGTGACAATACGGCCACAATGGGGATAGCTAACAACCCTATTCATCAGGACCACACCAAGCATGTAGAGATTGACAAGAATTTTATTAAAAAGAAGATTGAAGCTAAAATTATTGTCGTGTTATGTCTCCCCCGGTTCACAAACAGCAGAAATATTTACAAAGTCTCTCCCAAGAGTTAAATTTGAAAGATTGATTTCCAATCTGGGAATGCTAGACATCTAACACCCACCTTGAGGGGGAGTGTTGCTATCCAAAGATCTTCATTTGCGCACTCTTTTAGGAGAAAGAAATATTCTGACCTTGTTTTCTGTTATCATTTGAATAATTAGGATAAGTATAAGATTAGTTGTTTCTGCTTTTAAAGATTCAACAAAATTAGGATAGTTTTACAGTTATTCTGTTTCCTATTATTTAGGGATCACAATCTGTTTAGGATTGTAATGAGTGATCCATAGTTAGTCTATATATTGTAATTAGTCTTTTCCAATCAATAACAGAGAGAAAGATCAATTCTTCTCATATCCTAATATTCTATAACTACTTTCCCCATGTTTTGACTGACCTCATCCTCTCGTGTCATGCTCTTTGATAACAAATTGGAAAATGAATTTATAGGTAAGAGAAGCCGAAGGATCTAAAATCCAGGTACCGGGATCAGAAGCAAGAGTTATGGGAGGGGCAGAGAATTCCTAACAAGGATATTAAAATAAGAGCTTTTCTGATCATTGCTGTTCCATGAGAAGTGAAAATTCCAAGAGGAATGGATCATTGATTAGAAAAAGGTCCAAACAAGGACACTGATAGAACCCAAAATGAACACACTGATTTTATTGCTTTAATGGAGGCGTAACCTCTTTTTACAAACACCACTTGACACTAAAGACCCATAACTTCCCCTTAGAACCAACAAACTTAGGCTTCAAGAGATCCCCAATTCCCCCAATATTCTCTCAATACATACATACCTCACTCCACACACTCTCCCTTCTTTTATCCTATTCTCAAAGAATATTCTAGAGAAATTCCCTAACTAACTAACTATAACTCACTCACTCATCACTTTTAGATCAATCAATACTACTACTACTCCAAAACTCACCTTGTCCTCAAGGTGAAGAATAAGGATAGGCGAACTGAGAGGACTCCCAACCAAGTCCTATTGTTTGAAGCATACAGACCAAGTAATGCTTGGAGTCAAAAAATTGTCACTGTTGGATCCCATTGCCCCTCTTGCTTCTATACTGCACCTGTGCCTAGTTCCCTATAAATTTTTTGACCAAGAAACGCGGTATCCCCTCCCTCCTCATGCTCTGTTTTCTGCCCTGTTTGTGGGCCTTTCATGTTTTTTTTGCAGAAAATAGCTTTCGGCCACAAGCATCTTTTCTGAAGCTCAAAGACATTCGATCTTGTAACTGTCCGATGCAATTGTCCCCTTCTCACCCAGAATCATCACACGGCCAAGGAAAAAAATAAATAGCACACTAGAAACATTGGTTTCGGCTTTTCCTGTGTCAACTAGCGAAATATCGACCCACGACGTTTGTCTTGGCCAATTTCCGATTTTGCTTCTCATCATCACTCTAGCCTCGGTGAAAACCTGCAACACAGTGGAAACAAAAATTGCACCGCCGTCCGTCGTTGAGCTCCTCATGCATGAGACAACAGAACCTCGCCACTCTCCTTCCCCCATTCGTGCTACCCCTTGGTTTGTCACGTTGGTCTCGAAAGGCTTCCTAATTGAAGACCCATTATTTTCATTTCCTACTAGCACATTTGTTTCGTGTAGGCCAATTTTCTCTGGACCATTGCGTCCTGAATTATCAACCAAAGTGGGCTGCGTCTCAAAGTGGGTATTGACCATATTTGACAAAGCCACCAGCGAGTGATATCCAACTCCAGCCCTAGATTTGTAAGTGAGCCCTTGACAAACTGAAATATTAGGCCCGCGTGTTGAATTCGCATTGGGCCCAAGTCCACTTCGGAGATACATAATGGTTCCAATGGATTGGGTCATGTTGAGTAGGGAAACCCGGGTATACTGACCCGAACCTGTTCCATTACTCACCCATAGCCACTTCGGCCTATTATAGCTACCCACATTTCTAACCCCGCTTCACGTTCCTCCATCGTCTACGCCAACCTCATAACCTTCCCCAAATATGGCACTGAGTCCAAGCACACTTCTGCCTCAACGTCCTCTTCTTCCTCTTGATCTTCTTTAATTTCTTCTGCATCATCAATGTCGTTAACTTCTTCTCAGTGTCGATTTGCTTCTTTTTCTTTTGCCTCTTCTTCGATCTCTTTTTTTTCTTCTTTGATTTTTTTTTAACTGAATCTTATGCTCAAAACAGTGCTTTTTGATTTCAAATCTCAGTGTCTCCATCTTCCCTATTGCATCATTAAAAACCTTTATCATTATTTTCAACATTTCCATGAGCTCTTAATTGCTGATTCCTCTTATGGTGTTCATTTCTTCACAAATCTGGACTAGAATCACCTCGAGATTGAAGATGCTCTGATACCAAAATGATAAAACCCAAAATGAACACACTGATTTTATTGCTTCAATGGAGGCGTAGCCTCTTTTTACAAACACCACTTGACACTAAAAACCCCTAGCTCACCGTTAGAACCAACAAACCTATGCTCCAAGAGATCCCCAATTAAAATGATGGAACCCAAAATGAACACACTAATTTTATTGCTTCAATGGAGGCGTAGCCTCTTTTTACAAACACCACTTGACACCCCTAGCTCACCCTTAGAACCAATAAACCTAGGCTCCAAGAGATCCCTAATTCCCTCAATATTCTCTCAATACACACATACCTCACTCTACACCCCCCCTCCTTTTATCCTATTCTCTAAGAATATTCTAAAGGAATTCCCTAACAAACTAACTAACTAACTCACTCACTCACTCACTCACTCATCACTTTCAGGCCCATTAGACACCATGCCAGGTACGAAGATAGTTAAAAAAAAAGTAGACGCAGATCAATATTGTAGACTATATTTTCCAAACTTAATGCGCCCACGTTCCTAGGCTTGCAACAAGCCAGATGATCTTTCTCCCCGACTTCTGACCATAAGAAGTCCCTCGTAATCTTCTCAAATCTCAATCCTTTAAGCTACTCCAATAGGATTTTTATTTTGGATAGAAAGTCCAACAGGAATATTGATGAGACAAATAATAACTAGACAACCAAAACAGGTTTCTAATAAGGACCATAACTAATAAAATAGAACAAGGAAAACAAGGGATTTAGGATATTAATATGAAAGAGGAAGATTAAGATAACAAATTTGTCTCAAAAGAAAATTACAAGAGTAACAGATAACCAAGAAAAATGACTAACAAAGAATACTCTCTCAAAGGAAATTACAAGATCAGCAAATGACACAGTGAATGATAAACTGAAAGGAAAATGTGAAGCAATTGGAGAGGCCTCACTCTCTCCCAAGGTCCCAATTCCCAGACTATACTCTTCATGCCCCCTTTCCTACCACCCACGCACCTTTTAACCTCCAACCCGCCTAACCCCTCTTGCATTCCATTCTGTTGGAGGGTGTTTGGTGAGTCAGCATTAGCAATTGGGCCACTTGGATCAGCAATAGTGTTACTTGGGGCCCAGACTCTTCTCTGTTTATCCCTTTTATACACCTTGAGGCCTTGGGTCATATCAGTTTCCTACTCGAAATTCAAGAGCATATCTTTCTCTTTCCAGCAATCAATATCCTTCATCTAAGTTTCCTTCCTCCAAGATAAGCCTACCCCTTGAGAATGACAAATCAACCATGAATGGAGTAATTGCTTAAAAAAATTTCAAAAATAAGGTAGAAGACAGAAGCTCAATGGATGGAAAAGGTCAATATTTGTATAGTAAAAGGAATTTATTAGAACAAGGAGGAAAAATACAGCTATAAGGAGGATATGATATTCTCTAAAACAGAAAAAACAAAGTACATGAGAAGAATAAAACAATATGTGCATATTGAAATGACAATTCCACTGAAACAGCCAGTAGTAGAACACCAAAGATATGCCATAATCGCAATTACATCCCAGAGAAAGTTGAGCGTAAAGAGACACCTGAAAATGCATTCTGTTCCAACCAAATACACCAAAGGACTAATAAACTGCACCTTTCCACAAAAGTTTAGGCTCTTTGTTTTACCCAAGCCTTTATGGGCCAAGGTCAATTCGACCCACCCAAGCCCCAACAAATATGCAATATGGCAAATAAAGAGAGTAAAATTGTGTAGTAATGACATGATATGATGATTAAAGGGGAAATTAGAATCAAGAAACCATAGCGCAGCCAGGAAAGGCTTTAAAGTACAAAGTTTGCTCACCTGTTGCCGCTGTAACTTGGGATTTGATAAAGTGCCCTTTGTTTCTAAACCACTCAGCTACAAAAGGCACACCCAGATAAATTGCTTTCTTGCCTAGTTCTTTTGCTGCCTGCCTTGCGTATATGTAGCCAATGGTATTCAACATATCAACCCCATAAGCTGCATAATGACAACTAATTTATTCAGGAAAAGTACCTCAATTACCATCTCCTAAGGAGATTTAGGTTGATATTCTTCAATACAGTTATTCAAATACATGAGATTAGGTGAACGTTTTTCCCATGTCATGTAAAGTCAATCTTTTAACCATATGATTTTATGGATAAAAAGTAGTTTTGCAGCTACAAAATGTATTCACCTCTCTTATTCCCTGCATGTTTGGAATTATTCTTAGGGTAAAGTACCTGCTTTGGATAGCCGGGTTACTTCGGCTTCTGCATGATTAACAAAGTCCTCTTTGTTTCCTTGGACATATTGGTTGAGTCTACTTTTCAATATCTCTGCAAGCTTTTCTTCTCTCTCCTTCTGAACAACCTGAAGAAGAATAAATTTGTTAAAACCATAGTTATCAAATGCAGGGTAGCCGACCCTTGAAAATGTTATAGCGCTATAGTGGGTATTGGTATAGCGCAATAGTGAAATGCTATGCACGAATCTGTTGTATATATATACCACATATACAAAATAAATGCTCAAAAACAAAGACGAAATTGTGTACTAATTATCAAATACAGCAAAAAAAATTGTACTAAAAGTAAAAAAAACTTAGCCAGAATTAGTACATATATTTCTGGCTCACTAATTTTGAGGTACAATTTTGAATTATTATAAAATTCCAAACAGAGGAAAGCTATCTTCATTGTACAAGGCATTAAGAGTCCACTAATTTTAGAAGAAATCTCAAACTGGAACAGAGGAATGTCATCTTCATTTCTATAATATCATAAGGAGTTCACAAAGGAGTAGTATTAACCAATAAAGCAAAAAAAAAAAAAAAAAAAGAGAATAGATCAGGGTGAGAGAAAAAAAAAAGGAAAGAAGAGGACTGAAAAAAAATACCAGAAAGTCTGGAAAAAACAGAAAACAAAAGAAAAAGACATAAAGGTTTGGAGCAGAGAGAATCGCCGGAAATGGAGGTGGAAGCTGGTCGCCGAAACTGAAGCCGGTGGCTGGTTCGCTCGAAAGGAGAGAGAATGGTCGATGCATAGAGAGAGAGGAGAGAGGTTCACCCTTCAGATAAAAATGGGTTAAAAAAACATTTAACTCTTAAAATATGACAATTGAGACTTTAAGTGGAGGGTAAAAACTGAAACTTGCACTCCTTCCCTGTTGCCACAATATTGCGTCGCAATTGTCCGCAAATCGGCCGCAATAGCGATTGCTACAGCCGCTACCATTAAGTGTAGCATAGCAGTGTGGCCAATAGCAGATGACACCCGCTACAATTACGGTATAGTGTGCAAAAGCGGGGCTATTGACAACTTAAAACATTTTCTGTTATTTCTCATCAAATCCAGTCACCAAATTCACAAGAAATTTCACTCTTCCTCCAAAAGCCTTGGGACACATCTACTTTGTATTTTTATAACCGTAAGAAAACATGAAATGAAATAAAAAGTATTTCGATTTTCGCTCCTAGCAGTCAATCTCCTATCCCCTGCAGTCATAACCTATGAAGCATAGACACGTTTTTTTTCTTTCAAAAAAATGTGTGTCGAACTATGACACGCTTCCGGCAAGGGGTCAACATTTGGGACACGCGGTCAACGCTCCAATACATTCCGACATGCATTCGACACGCGGTCAACGTTCATGCAGATCCAAATTTTATTTTATTTGTCTTTTTAACTAAACATGAAAAATTAATTTATAAATAAAATATTGTGTTATGGAATTTGATATGAAAAATTAACAAGGCACGAAAAATTATTTTTGCTTTATATTTTTTGTTATGGAATTTGAATATTTGATTGGTTATATGACTTATTATAGGCTGCTATAAATATTAAATGTTATATATTAAAAATATTATTTAATATCAAAACGGGTTTTAACATGTCAAAATATAACATTTTTTAGAATTAATGTGTCAGAGTGTCGTGCCCTTGTTGGTGTCGGTGCAACATAGGTCATAACAATAACTGCACTCCGTCCCTTCAATATAAAACAACTGACAGCACAATTTACTGCAAAGATTCCGATTTTCCTTTTCTTCTTTTTCTTTTCCTACGATAATTCACAATATTGTAAACAGTAAGTCTAGAACCATGAATTTCTCTTTCTAAAAGCACTAGATAGATGCATATATACAAATACAGTCCTTAATCATTTCTCTTCTTTCAGCAAATCGGATAAGAAAATAGCACATCACACAAAGGTATTCCCAAACAAAGCAATGCTATGAGAAAATAACAGAGAGTTATAGATTGTGTGTTAATTCTCCATCCCATACAAGGCATAGGATTGGCCAATAATGGACTAGTCTGGGCAACTGAGTTTTTACGCTTTTGCTAGGTGATCCTTTGCAATTCCAGTGATTCACGATTCAGCAACCGATTTGCATCATCCATTGTGGAAAGACTTGTAGGACCATACGATCTTATGAGATGATCTACCCCTACACTTAATACCTTAAGATCTTAGTGAAGTTGTTCCATGACACGGGTACTAGAGCCTTTTTGAAAGAAAAGGTTACGAGTTTGATCGTTACCATTATTATTCTTTAAAATAAAATACTAAAATTTCAGCACAAGGAGAAGTCGGTCTAAACATTATCCATGCTTCAAACCCCTCAATGCCGGAGCTTGGACTAAATTTTGTGGCAGCCTAAATAAATATTCAGTACATAAATTAAATTTGTAGCATACATACTTTCTATTTTAACATATTTATACTTAAAGAAAAAGTAATAAATATCTAGAATTTAAAGTAAATTATCAACACATATTTCATTAAGAAAAGAACAAAAGAAAAGGACTAAAAATTACCTTGTAGTATTTTGTGTAATATAAAAGAAAGGACTATAAATTTCACCAATACCGTAATAACTAATAAATATCTTATGTTTTCAATTTTTTTAAATAAGATTGCCACAAGTGAAGAGGCTTTAGGTTTAAACAAAGGACAGAGTAAACTACTTTACTATATATGAACCAAAAGTCTACATATGTAAGTCCAAGCATCTGATGTTCGTTCAACCATTTCAATTTCATCTCCTCCAATTGTGCTGTGCGCTCCATGAGCTGTTATTTTTTAGTCTTTCTCCATTAGGATTCGGTTGGTTTTGTTTTCATATGAATACAAAAAAATTTAATTTTTTTTTTTATAACTTTTGGGAGAGCCATAGTCCCCTCAACCATTGAGAAGCTTTGCCAGCGAAGCCCTTTGTGCTATGCTAAACAGCTTAAGCTTTTGTATGAAGACTTATGATAGTTTTATATCAAACAGTGCATTTCTAGTAGTGTTCTGCATTTAGGTTGAAGTCCGTATACAATTAGGGCTTCATTACCAATCTTGGGAAATCAAACCTTGGGCAACCCTAGGGGAGAGGCCTAGATTAATTTTCTTCTTCCACAACTACCGATATTATTTCCATCAATCTATCTAAGTCTTCTTCCATCTTATGCAGCAAGCTAGGGAGAGACTTTGCTTCCAAAGTTTCTCAATCATTAAGGGTGTGCTTTATAACACTGAAATACTTTATCATTGAAATTAAGCACCGTATCCTAAATGTAGAAATTTTCAGTAAACAACAATTAGTGTTTGACAAGATTCTAAGTGAATGATTTATAAAATTTGATAGAAAAGAATTACTTAAAGAGGGAAAAGGAGTATAGAACAGGAAAATCACAAATCGTCCTAGAGCAGCAGAAAATACAACAAAGCAAAAGGACGCAAAAAGAAATAATATCGCAGCTCAAAAGAGAAAGCCAACCCATTTGCAAATCCTAAAAAGAAAGAGAAAGCCAAAAAGTCTCAAAGCACAGCAAAGCCATATAATTTCTTTGCATAAGAGGAAGAGAGTCAAGAGACCCCTAAAAAATGAAGGCATTCTGCTCCAACCAAATACACTAGGGAACTGCACAAAATGCATAATCCCCACAAACAAATTAACCGATAAAAAGTAACCACCTGACCTGGTATAAATAAATTGGCAACTTCAAGACTAAATCAGCACGTATCAAGCATGAAAAGAAAGAATTCTATGAAGTGTGCAAATTCAAAAAAGGTCACTAAGCATAAATCCTTTTGAGGACTGTTCTCTGAAGGGAAGACTAGACCTTAGAGGAAGTTTTAGACTCCAAATGGGATTGTGAAAACAGGAAACTCTCCCTATGGAACAATGCTCGTGGCTATTTCTAGTAGGGGGGAAGGGTAGCCACCACGGATGTGCAGAGACATTGTGAAGACTGCATAGTTAGCTTTTTGTTGTTATATTTAGGCTTTTCTATTTTGAAGTTTTTTTTTTTTTTCCTTTGGTAAAGGATTAACATAATAAGAGAAGGAAAAGTATAAAGATTAGCTACAAAGAAAGCAGCAACAAAAACAGAATGAAAAAGAATTCAGCTCAAAAAAGCAACTCATTCCTTTTTAGAAGTCTGACCTAGGAACACCCTTGAAAAACCAAGAACCCCACAGGAGAATAAGAAAACAAATCTGTCCTGTAAAATATGTTGAGTAAGATAATCATTACCAAAGCATTTTTTTAATCCATTCTACCTCCAAAACCTTTCCTATCAGTAAATAATTCAAAATTAGGCAGACAAGTTCAGCACTCTACAAAGAGCCCAAAAAAACTTATGACCAAGCTGTTAAGCTACCTATCGATGCAAAATGAGGCGGCTATTTGCTTTAGAGCTTTTGACGCACATACTTGAAATATTATTGTCTTGGACATCTGCCCTTAAAGATTTTGAAGTTGTTTCCGAGTTTAGAGTCGTTTATTGTCTTGAATTGTGAGCTTTCTGAGTTTGCTAAACATCATCGAGTAACTAATCCACCTAGAGTCAAAAAAAGGGTTGAATCCCCATTTACACTTGTTCAATCAAATATTTGGGGGCCTTGTGCCTTTAATCTTAACTGGTTGTCATCATGTTATGACATTTCTTGAAGATTACTCTCATGTTACATGACTTTATTTTATGAAAAGTCATCAAGAGTTATTTATTACGTTTCATGCTAAAATTCAAACCTAATTTCATGTTGCTATCCCAAGATTTTAATTGATAATGCTAAAGAATATAATTCCACTTCTTTTAAGAAATTTATGCAAGAACATGGCAACATTTATGAAAGATGTTATTTTGTCATTCCTCAACAGAATGGGGTGACTAAAGAAAGAAAAGACACTTACTTGAAATTGTTCATGCGCTCTCTCTCAGCTACATGCTAGTGCTCTTTTGTTTTCAAAAGAAAGTCTCTAAGCCTTTTGGACCCAATATGGTTTTAATAGCCTGGTACTTAATTGATTACCTATCTTCTATTCTAGATGGTCAAATTCCTTGTTGTCTTCTCTTTTCTTCTCAATCCTTATTTGCTCTTCCTCCCTTTTATTTTTTTTGTACTTGTTTTGTCTAGGATGTTATCTCTCAAGCATGGTTGTCAAACTCGAGATTCAATGCAAACTCGGAAGGGTAAACCAAAATCATAAATCGCAAAATCGTAACACGGATCATAGACTCGTAACACAAGATACAAATTATATTTATATATATTTATATGCATATAAAGTAATATACTTACCACAATTCAAGTGAAATTAATTCCTACTAATTTTATTTGGATTAATTTTATTTTTTCCTTTGAATGTAAAATCAAACAGAGGCAATTGAAGTGAAAAAAAAATTAATTTGATTTGGTTTGGATACCCAAAAAAAAAAAAAAAATCTGATTTGGTTTAGTTTACGGTTTATTTGCTTTATAAAATAAAATGATATTGTTTATAAAATAAAATGATTTTGTTTTTTAAAATAAAATAAAATGATTTTGTTTTATAAAATAAAATGTAAATGATTTTGTTTTATAAAATAAAATAAAATAAAGTGATTTATAAATAAAACAAAAAATTGAGTCAGTAGAGTTGCGAACAGAGGCGAGCACGAATAGAGGCGAGCGACGAACAAAAAAATAAAAAAGAGAAGAGATTCAGACGGAGCAGAGCACTAACCGGTGATGGACGACCGAAGAAGACAGTGGCTTGAAGCACGACGGCAACGCAGAAGCACGACGGCGATGGCACGCGGAAAAGCTTCACTCAGGAAGAGGGCAAGACGACGAATCAGTACCATGCAAGGGAGGGACGACCGGAGAAGACAGTGGCTTCAAGCGTCTGAGTCGCGACTTCGTCTCCCACGATCTGCAACGGTGGTGGCTCAGGTTCTTTAGGGTTTTTATTAGCTAAAAAAACCCATTTATATAATGGTTTTCCGGGTCAACGGGTCTTCTTGTTTGGGTGAAATCGTTGAACGTGGACGATTATACGAGTTTGCCAAAAAACTCGACGCTTCTACCATTTGAGGGCCAAAAGCAAGTAAACGGAGATCGTGGCTCGTAACAGTGTTGCTGAAGTGTAAACTCGTTCGATTTCACGAGTAAACGTGCGAGTTTGACAACCATGCTCTCAGGTGTCAAAGTTGAATCCTCGTTATGTGAAATGTACTTTCCTAGGCAAACTTTGTCTTCAAAAGGGTTACAAATGTTATTTTCCGGAGTTGTCAGTATCTTGCTTTTGTAGATGAAAAATTCTTTGAGACCACTCATTTCTCCTTTAGAGTTCTCTCCTTCTTCTATCACAAGCGATGATGATTTTTCCTGATTGACACCTCTTTTTTCTTCTTTTCTTTCATTTACTTATGGAGTGGCTGACAACGATGTTATGGCCTTGGACGACGCATGTTGGTTCGGGTTTCAATGATGGATGGGTTGGACGAAGAGTGTGATGTGGACACTATTCCGAGTGACTGTGCTCTAATGTTTTTAGTCGTTCAAGGTGTAGACTGTGGTGGAGATCACGTCTCCACTGACACCAACGGAGGAGGAGGAGAGCCCATCGGCTGCTGCAAGTAAGGGATCCAAACCGCAAAAGTAGAAGCATCAAGGACCAAGGGTGTGCTGATTTGAATTAGGATACAATCGCAGCCCAAAAAAACCAAAACCCTAAACTAATTCAACACCCTAACCCAAACTTGAACCAAAACCAATAGACCTGAATTCAGGCCTAAACCCAAACCAAACCAAAACCTACACCCTCACGCAACCGGCAAGACAAGGATGAACGTATAGATTACCTGGAGAACTACAGAAGCCACTTAAGCTTACAATTGTCTTGAGTATCGGTTCAATACATACTGCAGCTTCAACAAGCCTGGAAGCCCTTGTAGTGTGTTGTCTTTGTTTTGACCAATATTCTGCAATTTAGTTCTGAATTTCATTTTTGAAGTTTCTGTTGCTATTATGATAAGGTGGCTTCTGTCTAGTTCAGAGTGTGTTAAGTGCTCTTCTTGTGTAGAACAGAAATGGTTGCACTAGTATAGACCCTGCTCATACTAAATGTTCAAAAATTAAAGTGAATAAGACAATTGAAACTTAGAGGTAGGGTGGTATTTTTAGAATTGTGTAAGGCTTGGGAGCAGTGGTAAAGTTGTTCCTTCATGACTGAAAAGTCATGGGTTCGAATCCAGGAAACAACCTCTTTGCAATATTGCAAGGGTAAGGCTGCGTACAAGGATTACTTCCACCCCACACTCGCTAGTCGGGTTTAACGGAGAGTGACTTTGGTGTAAGGCTTGGGAGAGTCGAGGGTCCCTCGAACACTCTGGGAAGCCATTGTTGTCCTTTTATCCGTTTTATTTTCCATTTCCATCTTCAGCGTAGGTTCTGTTTCCATTTCATTGATATCAATATCGAATTTCTTCTATTGAAACTAGTGTTTCTCTCTCCTGCTTGGATCATTCTTATGAAATTGACAACAACTTGCACACATCTTTACCAAAGCACTAAAAAAAATTATAATAGATCAAATTTGTAACAACATTAGCATGATTAATATCTATCCTACAGTTTGAAGGAGAGAAGTAGAGAATAGTTATTAGATTATTTTGTGTTATCAGGTTGGGCCTATCTTTCTTGTGCTGGTCTTTATTTCTCAGTACAATATAGAGGCAAGGAGACTAACCATAACAGGTAAGTCATTCCCATTCTTAATTTTCTCTAACAGTGTTAATCCCACCAAGCACTGCTGTTGACTCAAAAGCCTTAACCTTAGAAACACTGGCAGAAATCGCCTTATGAAGTCTATGCATTAGTAGCAACTGATGATGAGTATTAATCCTCTTAAGAACGGTTATCCACATTAAAGCGTTAACTTTAGAGGGAATGACTATTTTGAAGACATGATGTTATTTACACCATGCATAGAACCCCTATTATAATAAGTGACAGGTGTAGTCCAAAAAGTAAACAAAATACAAAAGAAAAAAAAGTTATATATATATATATATAAATATATATATATATATATATATCCTCTTCGGTGGCAGTATGATTAAGTCAGTAATCACATAAAAGTAATCATAAGAGAATGCAGTTGTTGAGAAAGATTATAAGATATACCCTCATTTTTTCTTGCAACTTTTTAGTATCAAATTGTTCCCCTTCAGTAAAAATGTCCATTGATGCCATTGATGCCATGGCTAACTGGCCTATGTATTCCTCAAAAAGCTCACTACCAAAAAGCATGGCAAAGATTGCTGCAGGATCAATAATTGCTTCACTGAAAAGAGCGGAAGAAGGACAAAAAAATCAGCATAAGAGAGATGCTTAACATGACTAAAAGGTTCCACACCTATCAACCTTGGTGTTCGACTATTAATTAATATATTATGAAGTGCAAAAAAAAAAAAACTAACGTCGAGATTCCTGATTTCCCATGAGCATCGTAAGCTTGCCTTTGAGTTGGATCACTCAGAACTTGGTAAGCCTCACCCAAAACCTGAAACCAGAGTGGAAAACACATAGGAAATTACTAGTGGCAACAAAAGTTGATTAACAATGGTATAATCCAAGCTACACATAATAAGAATGACAACTGGGGGATTAGGAAAATGGTATTAATACTTCAGGATATTAGCTATTTTGTTGAAGGAATACTACCAACATGTACATGCTGGGAAAATTGGCAATAGGAGATAATAGAACAATATAAAAATTCAATAACATAAAAAACATTTCGTGTTGTATATGATCACATCCAACATGATATACGCCAATAGGTGAAGCCCAAGAAAGTTCAACTTTTTGGTTGACTTGTTCAAGAATGCAAGTTACGCCACATTAAGATGAATATGATTTCAAGAATTATGGTTCTTGACTTAATGGTCATCTTGCCAAGAAAAATAAGTTGATGTTAATTTGTTGGGTGAGGATTTACTTACTATAGGTGTAAGACTTGGACAGTTATATCTTTGAATAATTGCATGAGTTAACATTTACAACAGGTCTGGACTCAATTTTAGGACTACAAACTTTCTATAAAAAAATATTTTAGGCCTTAAAATTGGCAGAAAATCGGAGTTGACATCTTTGTACAACTAAAAGCATGTACAATGTCACCACCAAAACTGATAAATGAGGGTGCAGGGAAGACAAGGAAAGCTAATGATGATTACAAAGATTGAAAAAAGGCCACAAGGCAATATGATTCATAACAGCTGGAAGTCCTTAATCAATCACAAGTAATTTGAATTCTCTACCTGAAATTACTTCTCACAATTCGGTTACACACGCCAGCAAGCATATAGCAATATAAACACATGTTTCTCATTACTTTGCTCAAGGTTCAGTCATATTTCAAACCATATGAAAGGTTAACATCACAAGTTATTAAGAATGGCAGGTTTAAACTAAAATATGGTAATCTTGCCTGAAAATTTTGTGCAGCAAGAGGGTCATTTGGGTTTTTATCCGGATGCACTTGTCGTGCCTGCAAGCATAGGACAAAAGAAGATAAATAAATAACATTATGACAGTACTTGATCATAGTTTACAATTTGGTACTAGATGATAAATACCAAAACTTAAATAAAGTAAAAAAAGAAGGCACTAGGAAGTTATATTCCAGATTTCCAAAGTTAAACTGCCATCGGCTGTAAAAGCATTTCAATTTCATTATATACAACCTAGAATGTATTACAGAGAGCAAGCACTCAACGCGAGTAGAAATCTCTTTCAGAACCCAACAGAATTGACAGATCCAGCCGTATGACATACGCATCTGCTATTTTCTGTCTATTTGAACGGATAAATGGGATTAGGCGGATCTATCGAGGTGTAAGATAGCTTGCAAAGCAAAATAATTTTGTAGCTCTACGTAATACCAATTCTTGGTCATTTATTCGTTGCATTTTTGCATATGACAAGAAATAAATAAGGGAGATAAGCAAAGGATCGATAAACATGACCTTCATGTAATAAGCCTTCTTAATCTCGGATTCCGACGCTGTTGGACTGACACCCAGTACGTCATAGTATTCGGTTTCCTTCACCATCTCAAAGCGCAGATGATTGATCTTTGCGATGAGAAAACGCCTAGAATTATTATATTTTCGCTAATCTGCGAGGGGACGAAGAGGAAAAAAAACACGCCAAAATCAAATGGCGTTATCCTTCTTACTAAAGCGTAATTACTTTCTTTCTCTCCGTCAACGGAATCCCGGGCGTTGACTGCTGCAACCGCGTAATTCTTTGATGTTAATCGTTTCCTCTCCCGGTGGTTCCGACTTCTCGCCTTCACCCTTGTGTTCAAAATACAATTCTTCGGATTTTCTTTTTGAGTAAACACGTATGTAAGTCTTTTTTAGTCCTGGCAATAAAAAAGGACTAAATTGATCTCTTAAATTACAAAAAAAAGGTCATGTTAGTCCTTATGTCAACTCCCAAATATATAGAGTGACCATTTTCTTGTACTTTCAGAGACCAATTCGATCCTTTTTTGTTGCTAGAGACTAAAAATGACTTCGTAGATATTACCAGAGACTAAAAATGGTGTTTATTTTTTTTTTCTTTTCTCTTTAAAAAAAGATCCCGATTTTGTATTTTTTTTTTTAAAAAAAAAAGAGGTTCAGATTCACCATCTCTGTTGATAGGTTCTACCTCAACAGTTAATAATTCGCATTCTTAATTTTTTTAATGGGTAAAAATTTAATAAAAAAATACTTAAATTGAATTATAACTAGTGAAAAATTAAAATATATTTAAAATAAGAAAAAATATTTTGTCATGTTACATGAGATTGTGATCCTTTTGTGGGCAAAACCCCCTTTTTTTTTTTAATAAATATGAAACCGACCACTAATTGAGTTGGAATTTAATTCTCATATAACATGAGAAAATCAAACCCCTTAAAATAATTGCATTTAAAGTAAAAAAATTCATAATTTTTGTTATCCATATGTTCATATCTAACAACTTAATACAAATAACTTCTGCGGTCACCGGCTGGCAATTTTCGTTCTCACTAGACAATGATATATTTGTGCGCTTCCAATCTTTCGATAGATTTGAAAATTACATCGAAGGCATGTGTCTATTTAAGATAGATATTGGACCGGGAGGAGTGAAAATGGCCAGACGGTTTGTAATAGGCCCACAACTTGATTTGTTTTTGACCTGATTCATCTTGACACATTTTAAAAATAGTACATATATACTTGAATTTATTAAAAGACTTATGAAATCAGACTACAAATTGATTTTAGCAAGTTTGGCCTCCAAAATTGATTTGTATTTTTTAATAAATAATATTTTATTATATTTTTAATATAATAATATCTTATTATTTTGTAATAAAATAATATATTATATTTTTAATAACATAATATCTTATTATTTTTAATAAAATAATATCTTACAATTTTTTAATTTTTCACAATTTTTTCTCTTCTCACTTGATAAACACATGTTTTCTTAATCATAAATTTCATCACCATAACCACTCTTTACCCTTTCCTTGCCATTTTTTTTATTTTTGATTTCTAATAACATAGTTAAATTGTTAATATTTTGAGTTGTTGCATAAAAAAAAATACGTTTCATCAAGTTAAACATTAAAAAAACAAAATAATCATAACTTATATTTTACGGAGTGCTATATGCCATTTTAAAGGCTTGGTAGGCTTGACAAACCTAATCAAGCCTTATGTTTTTGAAAAACAAGTCAAGCCACGCTTAAAATCTGGCTTGTATAAGGCTAACAAGTCAAGTCAAGCCAAATTTGAAATAATTAACGCAAGTCTAACCTATTTAAGCTAAAGTCTAGGTTGACTTGACTCATTTACACCCCTATTTACACATAAGATGACCAAGTTTTTCTTACGTATAATTAGGATTAGGATAAGGTCATAGTTAAATACGAATATTAAATATTAAATGAAAATTAAATCTTGAATAACAGTCTTAATTTGTGTTTTATATTGGTATTTTTATCAACAATTTTTACCAAATTAAACTACCAACCATTTAAGCTTTTTGTACAAATATTTTTATAACTATTACTATTACAGTATTACATATTTTTCTTTTTCTGATTGTATTCTGTTAGCAATTTGTATTCTGTTAGCATTGCTTTCTGTTTGGCACCTGTTAACATTTCTTTCTGCTTTTGTAGCCACGTCACCATGAGTTTGTTACAACAGATTCTCTTAGGTGCTTTTATATACTGAATCATTTGTACCAATTACACACTGAATGAAAATATACAAAGTTAGTTTTTCTTCTCTTCCTTTCTGGAAATGCAGAGTGCTCAAATAACTAATATGCTATCAAGAGCTTTTTGATGGCTCGAGTCAACAACCGTCCTCCGCCGACTTCCGACATATCCTCCGGTGCTTCTTCAATGGAGGATACAGCAAGCCCCTACTCCCTGCAGAGCAGTGATCACCCTGGTCTTGTCCTTGTGACCCATACCCTTGATGGTACCAATTACAGCTCCTGGAACCGAGCTATGCTTTTGGCTCTTACTGCCAAAAACAAATCAGCTTTCATATACGGATCTCTTCCCCGTCCTTCCAATTCCGATCTCCTATTTCCAGCATGGAATCGGTGCAACTCAATGGTCATCTCTTGGATCCTTAATTCTGTCTCCAAAGCTATTGCAGATAGCTTGGTTTATTTCTCAAATGCCTCTGACGCCTGGGATGATCTACGCACTCGCTTTCAGCAAGCCAACGGACCACGCATCTTCCAACTGAAACAAGATATTTCTTCTCTTCATCAAGGATCTCTTGATGTCAACTCTTATTACACAAAGTTAAAAACCCTCTGTGATGAGCTCCAGGCTTACATTCCCACTCCATCGTGCAAGGTCTGAGACAAGTTTCGCTTTCACAAGAGCAACACGATGCCCTTCAGTTCCTCATGGGCCTTAATGAATCCTTCTCCTCTGTGCGAGCTCAGATCCTCTTAATGGATCCTCTTCCATCAATTGCCAAGGTTTTCTCACTTGTTCTTCAGGAAGAGAGGCAAAGCCAAATCAACATTCATGTTCCCACCTCTCCTGATACACTTCTCCTCAACTCAATATCCACCTCCCCTAACCGTCCTTCTTCAACTGATTCGAACCCACCGCCAGCCACGGGTGCCGTCACCGCTCCTCGCCGTTCTCGCCCATTTTGTACCTACTGCCACAACCAGGGTCACGTTAGAGATAAGTGCTTTAAGCTCCATGGGTTCCTTCCTGGATACAGGCCCAAGCCACCTAGGCCCAATTTGCCCACCCACTCAGCCCATTCTCCCAATGCCTCAGCCCAAGCCAATTCCTCTGTGTTTCCATTCCCTCACCCTTATTCTTCGATCCCTAACTTCCCCAATACCGTGAACCCTAACCACGCTCCACCACCCTCAGCTGCCATCACACAGTCTCAGTATGCGCATCTTCTATCGCTCATCCACCAACGTTCTGCTGCTCTGGTCACTTCCTCCTTAGCTTCGGTCACTGATTCCTCCCCATCTGTCGCAAGCTTCAATGGTAAGCGTCCTTCTTCTTTTTCTGATTCTTGTTGGATTTTAGATACTGGTGCAACCCACCATGTATCATTTTCTCCTCGCTTGTTTTCTGATTCTTCCATCTTACCTCCTTCCACTGCTTCTATTGTCTCTTTTCCTAATGGTACGTCTGTCCCTGTAACTGGTTCTGCTTCCATTATTTTGTCTCCTTCCTTTACTCTCCAAAATGTTTTATTTGTCCCCTCTTTTCGTTTTAACCTTTTGTCAATTAGCTCCTTGACCCGTGATTCGTCTCTCATCGCTAATTTTTCTTCCTCCCATTGTTTGATACAGGACCCTATCACGGCCAAGACGATTGGGATTGCTAAGCATTATGAAGGTCTTTATGTCCTTGATACATCCAATTTTTTTCCTGATTCATGTAATCCCCCACCCCTCTGTCTCTCTGTAAATTCATGCAATTCTGAGCTTTGGCATGCTCATTTCGGTCACCTCTCCTATTCTGTTTTAAATTCAATGAAAGATGTTTTACACACTACATCACTTTTAGATGCGTCTCATACATGTAATGTTTGCCCTTTGGCCAAACAAAAACGCTTACCATTTATTTTAAATCCCAAATTGTCCTCTTCTTCATTTACTCTTATTCACTGTGATATTTGGGGTCCATTTCACCCTTTTTCTGTTGAAGGATCAAAATATTTTCTCACAATTGTTGATGATGCATCTCGCTTCACTTGGACATATTTTTTACGATGCAAATCTGATTTTCGTTCTGCTTTCATTGATTTTTATGCTCTCATTTTAAATCAGTATAATACTGCCATCAAGTCAATAAGATGTGATAATGCTCCTGAGTTTCTTTTATCTGATTTTTACTCTTCCAAGGGTATACAATTATTTCACTCTTGTGTTGATAGACCGCAGCAGAACTCGGTGGTAGAGCGCAAACATCAGCACATTTTAAATGTTGCTCGCGCCTTGCATTTTCAGTCCAATATTCCCCTGGAATATTGGCAAGACTGTGTGTTAACAGCTGTATACCTTATTAACAGAACCCCATCCTCTTCGCTTTCTCATAAATCTCCCTTTGAAATCCTATCTCACAAACCTCCCACCTATGACCACCTTCGCATTTTTGGTTGCCTATGCTATGGTTCCACCCTACCCAAACACAGACGCAAATTTTCCCCTAGGGCTGTACCTGCTGTATTTTTAGGATATCCACCTGGCTATAAAGGATACAAACTCCTTTACATTGCCTCCAACCGCACTTTTATCTCAAGAGATGTCAACTTCATTGAAAACGTTTTTCCTTTAAAAAATTCATCCTCTCCAATTACCCCACTGCCTATATCAACTCCAACCATTCCTCCCAACCCCATTACTGTTTCTTCTAGACCATCCAGAACTAAAAAGCCTCATAGCCACTTAGATACTTACATCTGTTCCTCTTCAACAGCCCATCCTCTTTCTGCTTCTTTTTCTTATTCAAAGCTTTCCCCTACACATACTGCCTTTGTTAATTCCCTGCATAATCATTTTGAACCTACATCCTATGGTGAAGCCTCCCAGCTCCCTGAATGGCAATCTGCCATGCAAGATGAATTTTTGGCTTTACAAAATAACAAGACCTGGACAATTGTCTCTCTTCCTCCTGGAAAATCCCCAATTGGTTGTAAATGGGTATATAAGGTCAAGTACAATTCTGATGGCTCTGTTGAAAGGTTCAAAGCCTGTTTGGTTGCCAAGGGGTTTACACAACAAGAGGGAGTTGATTTTTCTGACACTTTTTCACCTGTAGCCAAGCTTACTTCAGTTCGGGTGATCCTTGCTCTTGCTGCACTCAAAAATTGGCACCTAATTCAGTTAGATGTCAATAACGCTTTTTTTACATGGAGAGCTCCTTGAAGAGGTATATATGACTTTACCCCCTAGTTATCATAGTAAGGGGGAGTCTCTTCCCAACGCTGTTTGCCATTTACACAAGTCACTGTATGGTCTCAAACAAGCGTCTAGGCAATGGTTTGCCAAATTTTCTTCTACTTTGCTCTCTCTTGGGTTCACACAGTCCCAATCTGATTATTCCTTATTTGTGAAGCATTCAGACTCTTCTTTCACTGCCATGCTAGTTTATGTCGATGACATACTTGTTGTTTCTAACAATTTTCATGAAGTGCAGCACTTTACATCTCTATTGGACATCAAGTTTAGGCTTAAAAATCTCGGTCCAGCCAAATATTTTTTGGGTTTGGAGGTTGCTCGTTCCTCCAAGGGTATCTCCTTATGCCAACACCATTATGCACTACAAATTTTAAAGGATTCAGGCCTCTCTGGTTGCAAACCAAAATCCACCCCATTGGAAGTTAAGTCGAAGCTGTCAAATCATGATGGGGATCTTCTACCTGATCCCACTATTTTTAGAAGACTCATTGGAAGATTACTCTACTTAACCATCACTAGACCTGACTTATGCTTTGCTGTCAATCACTTGAGCCAGTTTATGGCTACTCCTCGGGTCCCCCATCTCCAAGCTGCTCATCGGATTCTGGCTTATGTCAAAGCCACACTTGGTCAGGGGTTATTTTTTCCCTGTTCTTCAATTGTTCAACTAAAGGTTTTTTGCGATTCTGACTGGGCTTCCTGCTTGGATAACAGACGTTCTGTTTCTGGCTTCTGCGTTTTTCTTGGCAATTCTCTAATATCCTGGAAATCGAAGAAGCAACATACTGTTTCTCGTAGGTCTGCCGAAACTGAGTATCGTTCCATGGCTCATGCCTCTTGTGAAATCCTATGGCTACTTAATCTTCTCAAAGATCTTGGTTTTTCGCACCCTTCTGCTGCACACATGTTTTGTGACAATCAATCTGCCATACATATTGCTGCAAACCCAGTTTTCCATGAGCGTACAAAGCACATTGAGATTGATTGTCACCTTGTCTGCGATTGCATTGTTCGTGGCACACTCAAGACTTTTCATGTTCAATCCTCTCATCAACTAGCAGATATCCTCACAAAAGCTTTGCATCCATCACAGTTTTCCAATCTTCTCTGCAAGATGTGGATTATCAACATCTACTCCCCATCTTGAGGGGGAGTATTACAATATTACATATTTTTATTTTTCTGATTGTATTCTGTTACCAATTTGTATTCTGTTAGCATTTGTTAGTATTGCTTTCTGTTTGGCATTTGTTAGCATTTCTTTCTGCTTTTGTAGCCACGTCACCATGAGTTTGTTACAACAGATTCTCTTAGGTGCTTTTATATACTGAATCATTTGTACCAATTACACACTGAATGAAAATATACAAAGTTAGTTTTTCTTCTCTTCCTTTCTGGAAATGCAGAGTGCTCAAATAACTAATAATTACATTAACATGGCTAATGGTGAGTTACAATTATACTCTTTGATAACGAATCTTCAAAACCTTTTTAAAAAAATCCATTTTCCATTTCTTAGGGTCTCAATGAGAAATAAAAATTATTAGAACTCTTAATAGAAATGGTAAAATATAAATATTTTTAGTTATTTAAGAAATAATATGCTAAAAAAATGTTCATTACGAGAAGTCAAACCAATGACATTACGAAAGTATTAAGGGTTTTAGGATTCAATTTTTTGGGGTTCGTGAAATAGGGTTCAAGATTAGGAGTTTTTGGGTACACATGGATAAGGGTTTCAAGCATCAGGGTTAGGGTTCAAGATTTGGAGATAAAGGAGCAATGTCAGGGTTTAAGAAGTGTGACACTTTTAGGATTAAGGGTTTTCAGTTTCCAGGTTCAGGGTTTGAGGTTTAGGGATTAGAGTTTGAGGTTTGCAGTCTAGGGTATAGGGATTAAGTCTAAGGGAAAAAGGGTTTAGGGTTTGGAGTCTAAGGTTTGGGGCTTAGAGTTTAGCGTTTACGACTTAGATAAACCATAAATCCAAAACCCTAAGGGTAAGGGTGTTCATCAACCGATTCAAATTGCGATGATTGAACCGAAAATTCGATAACTGAAAAACTAAAAATCGAAATTTTTTGCATATTTTAATTGGATTGGATTGGATCGGTTTGGTAGGTGAAAATCGTTCCAATGTATTATATATTTATTATTTTTAAAAGATAGTGAGAATTTTGTTATTTTGTAGACTTGGAATATTGGATGTTATTGATAGCAATTAGCAAACTATCTTGTTTTAGTTTGAAGGCTTGAACTTTCAGATGGTTTGTAACTTTGAATGCCTTTATTTTAATATAGCTATTGATTTATATGGCTGGAATTTTAGGTCTTTTGAAAATTAATCCAATCCAAATAAAATTGGATTGGATTTTAAATGATCAGACCAAAAAGATTGGATCCGATGATTTCTTCTTTAAAGATCCAATCCAAACCACAAATACACCTACCTAAGGGTTCAGGGTTTACAGTTTAAGGCACAGGAATTACAGTTTACGATTTAGCGTTCACGGTTTAGGGTTTCTGATTTATAGTTTAGGATTTAGGGTTTTGAGGTTAGGGTTAGGGTGTAGGGGTTAGGGTTTAAGATTTTGAGTTTAGGGTTTCGGGGTTAAGGTTAGGGTGTCGGGTTTTAGATTTTGGGTTTAGTGTTATAGGTTAGGGTTTAAGGGTTTAGTGTTGGGGGTTAGGGCTTTGGGTAGTGTGTTATGGGTTTAGGGTTTGAGGTTTGGTGTTTCAGGGTTGGGGTTGAGTTTAGGGTTTGAGGTTTGGTGTTTTAGGGGTTGAGGGTTAAGGGTTTTGGGTTTCGGGTTTCGGGTTCAGGGTTTCGGGGTTAGGGGTTTCGGGTTTCGGGTTTCGGGTTTCGGGTTAGGGCTTAGGGCTTAGGGCTTAGGGCTTAGGGCTTAGGGCTTAGGGCTTAGGGCTTAGGGCTAGGGGTTAGGGGTTAGGGGTTAGGGCTTAGGGGTTAGGGTTAGGGTTTAGGGTTTAGGGTTTAGGGTTTAGGGTTTAGGGTTTAGGGTTTAGGGTTTAGGGTTTAGGGTTTAGGGTTTAGGGTTTAGGGTTTAGGGTTTAGGGTTTAGGGTTAAGGGTTTAGGGTTTAGGGTTAGGGTTTAGGGTTTAGGGTTTAGGGTTTAGGGTTTAGGGTTTAGGGTTTAGGGTTTTAGGGTTTAGGG